GGCTCAGTGGTAGAGCGCTTGCCTTGCATGCCTGAGGCCCTGGGTTCGATTCCTCAGCACCACATAAGCAAAAAGAAAAAAGCCCGAAGTGGCGCTGTGACTCAAGTGGTAGAGCGCTAGCCTTGAGCTGAAGAGCTGAGGGACAGCATCCAGACCCAGAGTTCAGGCCCATGACCAGACACACTATATCTATCTATCTATCTATCTATCTATCTATCTATCTATCTATCTATCTATCTATCTATCTATATGTATAAAATTTTTTAAATCATTTGTTGGGGGGGCTTGTCACACTTCTAAGATTAAATTTGGTGTCATAGACATGTTAAAATCTTCTTGTTTTTGGAAACATAGACCGAATAAAACATATTCATAGTCAAGCTTCCTCTAGCCTATAAGACTGCATTACCTCCAACATTTTCCCAAGAGTTCTTTAAAACTCCCTGAAGTCATCTTGCCTAATAGGAAGGGCAAATGCTGCAGTGTGACAGAAAATGGGATATAAAGGCAAAGAAGAGTTTTATTCCCTAGGTGATCTTTAAACATTATCTAGAAGGAATAGAAAATGAAGACCTTTAGGAGAGTTTTGCTATACCTTTGTCTACATCTCTTTTGAATGCCCGGCTGCCTGCCTACATTCTTAGATCTTTTCTTCCTCCCAGAAATTATTTCAATAAAGGAAGAGATAGATAGATAGATAGATAGATAGATAGATAGATAGATAGATAGATAGATAGATAGATAGATAGATAGATAGATAGATAGATAGATAGATAGACAGATAGATAGATAGACAGATAGATAGATAGATAGTTCATTGCCCTATTTGGTCAATTAGAAAAAATGTAAAAGACAAACACAACACAAAGCAAAACAAACAACCAGAAACACATGTCATAATAAAGCTAGAAACAAAATTTCCCAGGAGCCTTGAGGAGGACCAGGGAGTCTCAGGTGATCGGTACTCACGGGTGAAATGGTTCGAAGTGGACGGATTGACACTGTCTCCGCTGTCAGCACTGTCACTGCTGGAAACTTCATCATCTGATTCCCGCACTGAGGAGCAGGGTGAAGAGCCATCAACTTCTTCAAACTTCCTCTTTAAAATTCCGCTCATAGCTGCGGTGCTGTCTCATGTACCTGCAACAGAGACAGGAGCAATGGAGCATTGAAATATTTGACCGCCGAATGTGGACCCAGCCTCCAGAGTCATTTTTATGTGGCTTTTATACATGAGCTGAGCCGTAGCTTTCCCTTGAAAGGAGCCCTAATCTGACTTTTATTTTTTTCATTGTTAAATTAACAGAAATGGAATAAATATTTCACCATTTGGTTACTTAAAATATTTCTATCTTAGAAATGTACGCATTATCCTGCCCATGCAATTGTAACCCCTCTGTACAGTATGTTCACAAATAAAATAAAATTAAATTAAAAAAAATATTTCTATCTTTTTTTTTAAGATGTGGTTTTTTTCACTTAATGTACTATCACAATTTTTCTCCCTATGACAAATTGAGAAAACCCATTTGAGTACCTGCAATTCTATAAGAAAAATAAATACCCATGTCCCTGGAAGTCTAAAATGATTACTACATTATTCAAAATTCCTCTGGAAGAAACACTAAAAGAAATAGGTAAAAACCTTGATAGTCAAGTTTTAAAATTCAAGGAACCCAATTAGCTGGACATAATAAAGCACTTGAAATCTCCTTGGAATTTTAGGGAGTTTCCATTTTAATAAGGTGAAATTTGTCCCCATGCTACCAAGTGACTGAAGCTGTTGTTACTTTTCTAGAAATTTTCTTAGGGTATTTTTGTGGGAGAGGGAATTAAGGGAGTAGGAAGGGTAGGGAGTAGAGAGTTTCTTCTGTTTCCTGTTTGTTTTTGCCCCCTATCTTCCCTCCCTCCAGGAAGAAGCAGCTTTCTTCTCTCCAGAAGCTACTGTTTCTTTACATTTCCCTTCTTTACCTCAACATACACAGATAAAAGAAGTCCCCCCCACCCCGCCACACACACACACACACACACACACACACACACACACACACAATGTGAGGGGATTCAGGAAACAAGCTATATATAAATTAGCTTGGATTTATGTACATGATCTTACATTGTAAAATGTAAGCTGATAGTATTACTAAGTTGATTTCAATATTCCATCTTCTACCTCATTTCTGTCAGCTGATTTTAACTCTTATCTGAATTTCTGAAGTCACCCTCTCCTCTCACTGCAGGGGACAGCTGTCAGTCCTGTAGATCAAGAGGAAGCAAATCCCTTAAAACTATTCCCAGATCTGCTGAGTTACATTATCTCAGTATTGCTCTCAGAAATCTCTAAAACCAGCCCTTCTCTGTGCAGATCACAGAGCAAGCAGTCTGCTCAGATCCCTGATCTGGACCAACTCTCCAAGGTCTGATGCAGTAGTTTTCAAAGTGTGCAACTTGCATCAGTAGCAGCCAATATCACCTGGGAGACAGATGGTCAGAAATGAAAATGCTCAGTGCCCACTACAGATCTAACAAATCAAGAGGAAGTAGAGCTTCATGCTTTATGAAGCACCAAATCAGTTGATTTCAATGTACATTCAAATCTCAGGGATACCTGTCTATGCTCTAGAATGCTCCCGATTTTCCTTCCTGCAGACCATGTACCATTCCTAGGGAGGCACATACCCTGTACTCAATTCCTGATCAAAATCTCTTCTTTGGCTAGCCCCGATGTGATGTGTAATGAAAGTAAATACAGTAGTAGAGGTACCATTATTAATTCTTTTTAATTTCAGTTTACTCATTCATGTAAGCATGTGCTAAGTAACTGGTATGCGTAGGTTGTAGGGGACACACAAGTTAGAACAAGTTACTTGCTCTCAAAGTTCAAATACTTATCCTGCTGGGCTCCTTGAAGTAGAAAAGACCCAAACTCAAGTTCTATACCCTTTGCTTTTATTAATCCATGGCTTTGGTCCAATTACTACGTTAGCATTTTTTAATGTTTTAAGTTTATTTTTTAATAGTACTGGAGATTGAGCTCAGGCTTGCTAGGCAAGGAACTCTGCCACTTGAGCCATGTTCCCAATGCTATTTGCTTTAGTTACTATTGTATACTCAGATTTATGCACAGGCCAGCCTGTATCATTATCCATGTATTGATACCTCCTGCCATAGCTGTATGACAGGTTCATGAAACCATTCCAAGCTTTTATAGGTTGAGAGGAGTTTCTTGAACTTTGTGCCCCAAATAGTCTTGAATAGTAATCTTCCCTAACTCTGCCTTCCAAGTAGCGTGAGCCACTGCACCAGGCTCATTGTCAACTTTTCTGAGAAAAAATATCTCTTTTAAATCTGATTTTATCACTATTCAGATTAGTATATTATTTCCTTCATCTAAAAAAGTGTGAAATGCATAAAATGTTCATACATATCTGTTCAGAGTGATGAGAAAAAATGGATATTTTAAGGAAAGTCTTGAAATAAAAGTAGGACAGGATATACATTTTAAAATGATTCACTTCAAACAAGATGCAAAGTAATTCAAGAGGGAGTGACATAAAGTAATATAAGATGGAAATCTATGTTTAAAACTATACAATTGTAATAAGAGATTACAATGGGAATAGCGAAAAACTCAAAGCCTTCTTAGATCCCCACTCTTCTCTCCAAGGTTCTTCCGAAAGCAGATTACTCAAGAAGCAAGACACTCAATTAGACTACAAGGAGCCATCTCACAACACCAAAAAGCATACTTGATATCCTTCCCCCCTTTTCCATTCTCAAGGATGAGAGAAAAAGTTTTAGGGATGATATGACAATCAAAGTCTGTCTGTCTGTCTGTCTCTGTCTGTCTCTATCTGTCTGTCTCTCTCTGTTTTATTAATACAAGTGAGAGTGGGACAGACAAGTACTGAAGCAAACGAGTTGAAAGCTGGATGCAGTTTCTGCCTGGATTTGTAGAAGTGAGGAAGCTGAGCTATTCCCAGGAGAAAAGAAGTGCTGGGAATACTATCTAAGCTAGAAATTAGACATTCAAATAACTACAGGAAAATGTAACCTTTCCAAATACCCATGAAACTGGTTAAGAACCAATTTGCTTGTGTAGCAATGAAGCAAAAAAACTTGTCTAACCTCACTGCTGTATTCAAACCACTGGATGAGTGCCATAATGTCATAACAAAATAAGAAGGCCAAAGGACCCAGTGATGGCTGTGTATAACCTTCAGCCTACTTTACAGCGGAGCAGTAAAGGGACATGTAGTTTCTACCTACATCATCTAACCCATCTTACTCGGGGGGAGGGTGGGGAGGGGGGGAAGGAACACAAGAGTTAGGGAGATAACTCTGTTAAGAAAGCCGTGTCTCAGCTGGGTCCTGGTGGCTCACACCTGTAATCCTAGCTACTCAAGAGGCTGAGATCTGAGGATCGCAGTTCAAAGCCAACCTGGGCAGAAAAGTCCATGAGACGCTTATCTCCAATAAACCACCAGAAAACCAGAAGTGGTGCTGTGGCTCAATTGGTAGAGCGCTAGCCTTCTGAAGAGCTGAGGGACAGTGCCCAGGCCCAGAGTTCAAGCCCCATGACTGATGAGAGAGAGAGAGAGAGAGAGAGAGCGTGCCATGTCTGCTTGGTTTGTTTATATACTGTGTTGTTTCAGAATATAAGAACAACAGTTTATGGCTGGATAGGTACAGTCCCACGTGAACAGGAGGAGTGTCTATGATGTATCTCTCACAATTCCTCAAGCACCACATATTTAGTCAGTTAAATTTACTCAAATACAATCAAACAAAAAGGCATGTACATGTTTAGCAGGATTTATATAGCACTGAGGAACTCCCAAAAGTTGGAGAGGTATTCATTTCCTCTGAATACAAGAAGCTGAAGAGGTCAGCCTAGACAGCATTATCTCCCCACTGCTACCACTGTCTAGTTCAGAAAATGTCTAGTCCAAGGCACCAATGCTTCATTTGGACTAGGATGAAAGCCTCGTAATTATTCTTTCCCACCTAGCTAATGTTTTTTTGCTTGCTATGTGTTTTCCTGGATGAAGGCAGAATAACAAATTTAAAGTGCAAATCTAGCACTAACTTAAAACTCTGCAGTGGCTTTGAATTTTCACCATATACACTTCCAATCCTTGAAGTGGCTTATGAAGTCTTTAACAATCTAGCTTAGTTAACTTCTTTATCTTCATTTTAAGACACTGGCCTTGTAGATATTTCATTTCTAATAATCTTTCCATTTCTCCAACCTGCCATTTTATGACTTCTAAGCTGTTTTCTATACTTTTTCCTCTGATCTTTCCACATCATTTACCACTTTCTACATCTTGATTTTTTTATCTACACATTTCTAAATTTATTAGTTGTTGTTTTCATCCTATGCTAAAAGATCTATCATTGTTTTCACCTTATGCTAAAACATGTAAAGAGATGAATATTTGTTTTCTTCATTGACATTGGAAGGACATAAAACAATGTTTTATAGGTAATAGATATTATGGAAATAGATGAAATCCTTTCATGTCTACACTTTAATTTCAAAAGGATGTCTGATTTCTCTGCTAGACTGGAAGCTCCAAAAAAGCATATATCATCTTCACTTTACCTACCACATTACTTCCTCTTTCTAACAAAATATCTGGCATGTTTCTTTTAATGAGAATCAAAATAAGAGATAAAACGGGTCTCAATGTATCATAAAATGTTTCTGCTTCTGAGCAATAGAAAAGCCAATTCTAGATTAACAAAAATGAAAAACATATTGGAAAAAGACTGAACAAATTTGCACTAAAACCAAACAGAAAACTAAAATTTTTAAAATGCAGAGACCAGGAAGACTTCTGGGATTACAGCTGTAGAAATTCTTTTATCTTTTCCCTTGAGTTGTATTCTTACTAGTTCTAAGCTTCAGTAAATTGTACGTCTCATAGTTCAAGTTCAATGCTCCAAAAACTGGGCCATTTGTTTGTCAAATGATCATTCAACTACTTAGCCAATGAGCAGAGAGGAAGACATAGGAAGAAAGGAGCCACCCAAATACATTTTACTCCAGATAAGCTCACTCAGAAGTTTAATAACTTCAAATGTATTTCAAAGCCAACATTCTCTCCTCAAGTAGCATGGTTTTATCTTATATCTTCATTCCGTATTTCAATTCATTTCTTGCCAAGATCTTGGGAATTATCTGTCTCTGTCCTTCAAGACCTTGTCTTGAAGTTAAATTTAATTAAGAACTACCTTATTATAAAACATTAACAAATTACTTATTAACAGGTTAGTTTAACTCCACCTATGCTATTTCACATTTGCATTTGATGTAACCATTGCTCAGAAGTTTCTGAATACACTGATGAAGAGAAGTGCTCAAAACCATTGATGAAGAAAGGACATAAGTTTTCTATAGCTACAAGCACAACTAAATCATTTAATATATTTATGGCGCACTGGGAAGATAACTAGAATGGTGAGACCAAAGAGGAAGTATTACAACCCACTATGAAAGAAGATGGGGTGCAATGAGTCCCACAAAATAAATATGTCAAAAGGCTGAAGTTAAATTCTGTGTATGTGTTACAATCTCCTCCTCC